TCTTTCTGCGGTATACCTCTGAGGATGCCAGTCACAGCTACTGGCGAAACGTCAGGTCCCACAAGGCCAAGACCACGGCCACACAGCCCAGAACATCTACAGCAGCTAGCCCTGCTTAACTTCTGAGATCTGACAAGACCGGGATAGCCTGGGCCTTCCAGGTCAGGATATATGTGATATTGCCGGCTGCCAAACTGTGGTCAGTGGCGCTGGACAAGAGGCCATGCAGTCCCCTCCACCCATCCTCCTTACTCAGAAATCCCCTCACCTGTAACCACGGTCAGTTTGGTCCTAAAGGTGCCACTCGGCTCCACATTTGTCCCGCTGCTCCAGAGCCGCACGGCCGACCACCTGAAGCTACCTGCATTTCTGTCGGCCATCTTTAGCACCAACCTGGGCTTGCTGTCATCCTGGGTTCTACACTGATTTTTTTTTTATTTTTTTTTACAAAAATCCTGCTTTAACATCAGTGCAGATGGTGAGTTTCTTGTTAGCCTTTGCGGGGTGACACCATACCCAAAACTACGGGCAAGTCTTGCCGAAACCTCCAAAGCTGAGCAGTGTTTTCGGAATAAGACGACGGAGGGGGTGGTGGAAGTCTCCTCTCTGAGCTAGCACTATAAAACCCCAAGTGTCAGTTGTCTTCATTGAAGAGCTTTCCTCTGGTGTTCGCAGTAGTCCACGGCACACCAACATCAGGGGAACTAAGGAGCAGTGTTCCCTCTAAGCTGAGTTAGTGTGAGCTAGCTCACACTTTTTTAGCCTCCGGCTCACATTTTTGTCTCCGCTCAGGAAGGAGGGCTCCAGAGCAAACTCATTTATGCAGTAGCCAAATTGCTCGCTCACCGCTTGAATGCCAGTAGCTCACCAAGGAGAATTTTTGCTCACAAGACTCTACAGCTTAGAGGGAGCATTGCTAAGGAGGGTCGGGGTCTGGGTGGGAACCTGCCTGGAAGCACACACACCATATGCTGTTTTTGCATTCCAGGTGGAAGGAAAGCAAAGCAGGATATATAATGTGGTAAACGGCTAGCACAGTGGTCGAATCTGCATTTGCGTTTTTAAATCAGTTTCGTGCTGCTGTGACGCTGTCTTCCTCTGTGCTTGTTTGAACGCTGTTTGGAGAAGATTCTTTTCAAGCAGTGGGGAGGCGCAATGACAGTGGAGCCGCCCCGAAAGGACGATAAACATATGTGGACGTGCAAAAGTATGCTAGCACTGTTGAGGTGTGAAAATGAAACCAAATGTAGACAGCTTTTTTGAAGATGAAGTCAGAAAGCTGGGACACCGGTGGGAAAGACAAATGCAGATTCGACCACAGACTTCAGGTGTTGGGGGGAGTGGCTGCATTTTAACAGGTCGCCCGCTTGCAGGGTCCTCCTCTCTCGGCCATACTGTGTCCGAGCACCAGAGGAGAAAGGGGGGCGAACCGTGTCCCCGCCCAAAGCATGGCTTCCTTCCTTTGTAATGCTACATGCTCGACGGGAGCGGGGTATCAAGTAATGGGCAGGGCAGGCCACCTCCTTCGTTCAGAATTTTATTTCGTGTGTCCGGTGCTGGTTCTCGGCGCTACAGATCGGCGTTGACTGGGCAGCTGGGCTTCAGCAGTTCCACCACCACTGCTTCCTCGCTGTTCTCGTTCTTGGCCTTTGCTGTGAGCCAGTTCTGGGACAGCGTGGCATTGATACCTTCAGAAGGTAGAAGGAAACACGCAAGGCGGTCAGCTCCGTTTTGAACTAGCCTGCAAAGAGTGCTGTTTTCCTTAATAAACCTCTCCTTTCTGCCTGTCGTAGGGCCTGTGAACTGACTTATGAAAGACTTAGAACATCAGAAGAAAGTAGGCAGAGTCTGGCTGGGCTCCAAGGAATCTCATGGCTTGGAGCTCACGTCTCTGAAGAACTGGAACAAAGTTCCAGTGCCACCTTCAAGCCCAACAAAGTTTAATTCTGGGTATGAGCTTTCGTGCGCGTGGTAAACATGAGCCTGCAGTGCGATGCGGCTGCGAAGAAAGCTAATGCAATCTTAGGATGCACGAACAGAAGCATTGTGTCCAGATCACGGGAGGTGGTCGTTCCGCTCTGTTGTGCTATGGTCAGGCCTCACCCGGAGTACTGTGTCCAGGTTTGGGCACCACATTTGAGGAAGGAGGTTGACAAGCTCGAACGTGTCCAGAAGAGGGCAACCAGGATGGTGAGAGGGTTGGAATCCAAGTCTTAGGAGGAAAGGCTGAAAGAGTTGGGTCTGTTTAGCCTGGGAAAGAGAAGGCTTAGAGGGGACATGAGTGCAGTCTTCAAGTATCTGAAGGGCTGTCATGGAGAAGATGGAGCAGATCTATTCTCTCTTGCTCTGGATTGCAAGACTAGATCTAGGGTTGCCAAGTCAAAAAAACTCAGGTGGGGGAGCTATCCCCAGATGCGCGCGCCGCCAGCACGTCATCAGAAGTGACGCATGATGTCGACCACGTTGAGGCCGTGGCCCCGATCGTCTGAGGGAAAACCATAGAGTTTCCCCTCCGACGATCCGGGCCACGCCCCCAACGTGATTGACTTGGTTGCGTCACTCCGGTGACGCAGCCACGCTGCGCTTCGGGGGGCGGATTTCCCCCCGGGGCCTGATTCCGCGGCAGCGGAAATCGGGCCTCCAAAGCAGGGGTTTACCCGCCACCCGCCCCCACTTGGCAGCCCTAACTAGATCTAATGGGTGGAAATTACAAGGGAGTCGTTACCGGCTAAATATCAGTATAAAACTCCTAACTGTAAGAGTGGATGAGCAGTGGAACAGTCTGCCTCGGGAGGTGGTGGAGGCTCCTTCGCTGGACGTTTTCAAGCGGAGGCTGGACGGCCATCTTTCGGGTATGTTGTAGGTATGTAGGGCTATCAGCTATGCTCCTGCAGAGTGCAGGGGGTTGGACTAGATGACTTGCAAGTTCCCTTCCAACTCTAACATTCTATGATTCTATGACTCCAGCTTTGTTCAGTTGCTTCAGACCAACACAACTGCATCTGTCTCTGGAGAAAGGGAGCCGGGTACAGTTAGGAGCACAAGAGCATTCGAGTGCGGAGATGTGGCTTCGTCATGGCGTTGGGGTGGCCCTGCACCAGTCACGTGCACACAGCCCGCCCTACCTCACAGGCTTGCTGGGAGAGCAAAACTGAGGACCATGTACTGTTCTCAGGAGGACAGAATAAAAACACAGGGTTTGCCCATGCGTGATCTTTAGGCTGCTAAAGAACAAGTCCTTTCATTTCTCTCCGCCCCAGTGCTCTCACTTAGGGTCAGTGTTCCCTCTAAGCTGAGTTAGTGTGAGCAAGCTCACAGGTTTTTTTAGCCTCCGGCTCACACATTTTTGTCTTAGCTCAGGAAGGAGGGCTCCAGAGCAACCTAATTTATGCAGCAGCCAAATTGCTTGCTCACAAATTTAATGCCAGTCACTCACAAGGTAGAATTTTTGCTCACAAGACTTAGAGGAGGGATACAAATGCTCTCTTGAATCAAGCCAAAATCACTGACTGGGGGCGGGGGGGGGGGAGGTCCAGCAGTGCTTGATCTCCTTGCTCCTACCCCAGAACGTATCCCAGAATTCTATGGGGGGAAGTGTGCATGCACCTGAAAGCTTTATACCTTGAATAAAACTTTGTTGGTCTTAAAGGTGTCACTGGACTCAAACTTTGTCATGGAACATATGTGAGAGGGATACTTCAACCTTCTGTTTTGGCAGGGATCCGAATACTTGGGGAAGCGATCTAAAGTAAGCTGCTAATGAAACATCCACCACTCCCAAGAAAGTGGCAGTAAAATCAGCATTCGCATCGCAACAAAACCTCTCCGTGGTATCTAAATGTTTTTCTGAAGGACGAATGAGAATGGGAACCAGATTCGGTTGTGGGGGGGAGTCAGGGGACCACAGGAGTTGAGTTTACGGTGGATCAGAATAACCTCCTCAGTTTTCACTGCCGAGAAAACTCACTGGCATGTCAGAGGGTGAGGAAATGGGGGATTTTGGGACTGTTAAGCTCGACTTCCCCAGGGAAAGGCCGGGGTGACTCAGGCCTTCGTTTCTTGACACAGCAACTTTTGAAACTTACTGTCAAAGTTCAGATTCTCTAGGCTGCAGAGAGAGAGGAAGAAACAACATTAAATTCGACAACTTTGTGACAGTCAATTCTGAGAAAACCCTCCTAAGCGGGAACAAACTGTGGGTGTTGTATGGTCTTGGTGGGTCAGGCCAAAGCCCAGCATCTTTTTCCCCCCAACAGAAGCTGGACGATGTCACAGGCAGAACACGAAGGGCACGTGACTTTCTTCTTTTTCGGTGAATAGAGGTAGAGTATTTCTGGACATGGCAGTTCCGCTGTAGCTGTCATGCCTGCAGAACTTTATTCTATGAACGCATCCCCTCTGTGGTTTTTTTTAAAGCCCTCTGAGCCTACATCTTGTGCCGGAGAATTCTGTAACTTAATTGTGCATTGAAACAGTACTGGCTCCTGTGTAGTTTGAACTACAGTCCCTGTCTGTCCCAAAATTCCGGTTGAGCCCTATGAGGTGTTTGGCGAGCAGGCTAAATCTTGGAGAGTCCACTTTAGCTGTGTAGTCTCTTTGGCTATGGGTAGAGCAACAGTTGGGCAGCGGCGTCTTTTGTTCCCCCCTTTTGGGCTGCTTGTTCTTGCCTGCAGTCTCCCATTCAAATGCACGAAAACTGGGGGGGGGGGTAGGGGGCCCAGTGCATCATGGTCCGTGGGGCAAAAAGGTCCATAAACAAAAGGTGCCATCTTGGAGGCCTGACACAGTATCCTTGCTTACCTGTTGTCTGTGCAGTTGCTGAAAAGACAACAAAACAAAAAGTTTTAGCCAAAGGCCTCAGCTGTGCCCACTGAGCATTTCTGCTATGGCCTTTTAAGGGCAGGGTTGCATTCTGTTCTTCCGGGGGTGGTGGTGTAGGGGGGAGGGGTTTGATTCAGCGTCAGGATCTGGTGTCTCCAGTCGAGCTCCCGGAAGAGATCAGGGCCCTGCGGGACCTCTTACAGTTCCGCAGGGCCTGCAAGACGGAGCTCTTCCACCAGGCCTTCGATTAGGAGCTGCATCAAACGCCTGAGAAGTGTCCCTGTGCCCTGGCCTACAGCTGACAGCCTGTGTCCACCACACATATAAACCAATCAACTGAGCTGGCACAAGAATGGCAACGTGATTGTCACCTAAAGTAACACTGTTCAATCTGAAATGTCTACTCTCACACTTTACTTGAACTCTGTTCCAGCACTTTAGGGCAATTAATTTTAATTGTTAATGGTGTTTTATAAATGATTTTAATTGTATTTATATATGTACTAGGTGCAAGGCTTGTTGCGGGAAGAGAGGCAACGAGCCCTAGAGAGAGGCCGCCGGAGGGGACCCCCCATGCACTGGCAAAGGAGAGCGCAGCGGCTCCCTGGCGGCCAGGCTCACGCCTCCCCCCACTGCGCGCTGGAGGCGGCAGGGCAAGCCAGCCGGC